TCCTAGAAAAAGTATTTGTAGGAGCATTTATATAAAAGGAACATTGGCATTTGTATTATGAAAATGTCACCTATATTTGCATCAAGCATTAACATTATTGCATTCACATTGACATTTGCATTCACATCATTTGATGGAAATAGACATTTGTATCATGATTGTATTTGTCAACTTTGTAAATATTAAAAAGAGGAAAGGAAAAAAAGGGCAAAAAGAGGGAAGCAAGTCTATCATGAAAAGATAAGAAAAAGAAAAATAGTTTGACAAGAGACCAACATATCAAAAAGGTTTAAAAAGTTGAAAGAAAAAATTACCCGCAAAAAATGGAGGGATTGTTGACAAAATAAGAAAAAAAGATTTAATACAAGATAAGACTTAAGTCCAGTTAAGCTAGCACCTAGATATATCTCTAAGACCTCCGAATAAAGCATTTTAAATTTTCAAAGTTTCAATATCTCTAATATATGGGGAGCATTCAAAGATTTTGAAATCCTTAAGACCTCAAGGCACAATCTTTAAAACCGCTAGGCAAAACATTTTAAATTTTTAAAATTTTAATGCCTTTAATGTATGAGGAACATTCAAAAATTTTGAAATCCGTAAGATCTCCAAGCACAATCTTTAAGACTTCTAGATAAAACATTTTAAATTTTCTAAGTTTCAACACCTCTAATGTATGAGGAGCATTCAAAGATTTGAAGATTTGTAAGACCTCTAGGCATAATATCTAAAACCTCTGGGCATAATTTTTAAGATCTCCGACATAATCTATAAATCCTTCAGGCAGGATTCATAAGTCTTTCAAGCTAAATTTGTTTTGATTTCAAGATTCGTAAGACCTTTAAACATAATCTTCAAGTCTTTCTGATAGGATTTATAAGTCTCCCGAGTTGAATCTATTTTAGTTTCGAGATTTATAAGATCTTAGGGTATGATCTCTTGTTTTATTTTCAAAAGTTTTTGAGTTTTTGTTTAAATTTGTTTTCAAATGGTCAAGTTTACTAATTTACAAAAAATATATAAAAACAAAAAACAAAATAAAACAAAAAAATAAAAAAAAATCAAGGAAAAAATAAAAGAAGGAAAAAATTTTAGAAAAATTTTGAATCGTTATTATGAATAAAATTATTGTCTATGTCTTTACCCTATTCCTAATTCTTAGCAACGTGCAAAAAAAGACAGTTATAGATACTCAATTTTATCCAAATGAATTCAAATTTGCTCAATCATTTAGGTTTGATTTGCATGTTTTTATTTAAGTCAATTTAAGCATTAAGTCAAATTAAATTTATTCGAACTTATTCTGAATTAGTTATTTTTATTAATTGCAAAATTACAAAATATATATGAGGAAATAATTAATTAATCAAACTATTATTACTTCAATTAATCAAAAAATGTATATAAGATAAAAATTAATTACGAAAGGTAATTTAAAAAAATAAATAAATTATGAAAAAGAGGAAAGAAACAACAAAAAATACAATGAGTGGCTGACAACCACTACCAATTCTGTTTGGTCACTACACAAAACAAGCCAGCCCCAACACCATGTTCCACTACCGTGTACTACCCAGTGCCATGCTCCACCACATTATGATTCTTAAAGTTTTGGACTGATTACAAATGGTTAGATTAAAAATCAAGGGAAGAGGCCAGCACCTATCAGAAGAGGAACACACAAGAAACTCCATTGAACCATCCCACCCCTTTTCTTCAAACCTTTTTCAACACTTTTCACAGTCCTAATAGAGGAGCTTAGCTCTAGTAACAGCCCCAACTTGACACCAAAAGCCTTCTCCCTCTACCAACACACGGGCCTTCCTCTCTTCTATCACCCTGGACCCGAGTCCCTTGCTTGCACCTAACCAACCACCTCCACGCCTAGCAAACCCTAGCTTCACCATCAAAACCAAGCACATAGCCCCCTGCTACCTAAAAAGCAGCTAAAAACCCCCATTCCCAATCAACGCATGCCACCAAGGCCCCGACCATTGAATGAACAAAAAAAAAACCCTCTAACCTAGTTGAAACACCCTCAACACAATCAATCCAACACACACCATCATTATCACCAAACAAACCACAGCCTACCAAAAATAAACCAAAAGAAAAAATCCAACAAAACAAAAATCACAAAAAAACCACATCCCCAAGAGGGCAACTCAATGCCAATTATGGTGAAGAAACACCGAACCAATAACCTGGAGAAGGAGCGACACTGAAACAAAAATAAAAAGAAAAGTTAGTTTCACCAAAAAAAAGAAAAAGAGTGAACGACAATAATCTTTTAAGCAATCCGCGATAGTGGAAAGATAAAAGATAACAAGGAGAACACCATATTTTATTTTGGGATCGATCGAATGGTGGGATTGTGACATTTAGCAATTTGGAGTTTTTGGCTTTAAGCTCAGATCTTGAGTTTTTAGGGTCGTTTTAGCAGAAACTAAGGCTGAATCTATAATAGGAATGTCAAAGAGAGGCTACAGTCGAACTTAAGGAGCCAAAAGACCATCGACCGCTGGTTGCGCCAGCGGTGGTGGCAGTGGGGCTTCATTGAAAACTGAGAGTTGGGAAAGCTTTTGTTTCTTTGAAAGAGTTTAAGAGGTTTTTTTTTTTTTTTTTTTGTTAAATGGAAAGGGGAAATGAATAAAAAAACTGAAGTATTTATAGCCTGAAAAGAAAAAAAAAAAGAAGTAAATTAGGTGGACCTGGATTTGATTTGGATCCTACCCAATAGACTTAAAACCCAAACCAACCCAGACCCTAATTCCCATTGGGCTAGAGACTACCTAAATCCACCACTCAACTGGGCTTGTGGACTTCTAATTTAGGCTGCAATATGAAAGACTTGTTGGGTAAAAATTTCTCTATTAAATTTTTAAGCATGTTGTATATTTTTACATGCCTTTTACTTAATTTATAGAGAAATGAATGTTTAGGAATTAAAAATTATGTATGCTTGCATTAATATTATTTTTATATTTAATTTTTACTAATAGGATATGATTATTAAATAATTTTTATACAAAATAAATGATTTTTGAAAACTTTGCCTAGATGTTGAAGGGAATTCAAAATCGCATTTAAAAAAAATATTAATTCCACCTAGATATTAGAGAATTAAAAAAAATCAAAAATTAAAAAAATTAAGTCAAGTAAAATTAAATTATAATTTAAAATATAAGGTAAATTTTGTCATAAGTAAAATCCAATAACTAGTAAATTTATTTCACTTTTAATTTTTAGAAAAAAATGATAAAAAGCAAATAGGAATAAAATATAAAAAATTTTGATTAAATTGGCTGTTTTATTTTTTTAGCCTTTATATGCATAATTACTTTATTTGTGTTGCATTGGTATAAAATTGTCAAAAGAAAAGATGAATTATGAAAATGAGCTTGCTACAAAAGTCTGCCTAGATATTAGAAACTTTTAGAAAGATTCGTAAATTCTTAAAATTTAAACTCAAATCTGTAACTCAAAATAAATTTGTTTTGTTAAAACAACAAATATAAAGATATAAAATAATAAAAAAGAATAAGATAAGATTTTAAATATAAAAAGTCACATTTAAACTCTACTTAAAGGTTGAAGAGTTCAAGTGATCTTTTTTATATTTGAAAACCCGAGTCTTAAATCCGTGTTTTATCATCATCTGCAAATAACTCATTTAAAATAATATGTACATTCATAATTCATATATATATTTGTTGATGTTTAAGATTAATTATATTTGTTTTTATTTTACTGTAGAAAAAGTTTTCTTAAACATTTTAGTTTTAAACAAATAAAATTAAAATAGTATTCCGTGAAATATAATTGTTGATATTCTGCCTAAATATTGAAGAGTCATCGATGATTATCATTTACAAAAAATATTATTTTATTATTTCTGAAGGAATGTTATAATCTTAAATGAAAAGATCATATTTGAATTCTGCCTTTATGTAAGGATTTTAAAGGTATTTTTTTAATTTGAAGATTTTCATAATATTTTTAAATAAATAATTTTTTAAACTGATTTTATTTCTTACAAAAAAAGGGAATTACAATTAAATTTTAGATCAAAACCATTTCATCTAACACCAAAAATAACGCATGATTAATTGATACTAATTTATGGGCGTTGTGAGGGTGCTAATCTTTCACTATACGTAACTGACTCTCGATCTTAATTCCGTTTTCATAGATCAAAACTATCTTTTTAATAAAGCTTTAAACCTATTGTTTATTATTTTATTAAAAGATAAACTTTTTGGTAATCAATTGCACTTTAAAAAGATTTGCGATAATTTTTTATCTTTTTCATAATTTTTAAATATTTTATGTCTAATAATCAACTTTTTGAATTGGTACGCTATGACAAAAATAATTCAAATGAGAATCATTTGAAAAATTAATCTAAAATAATTTAAGATTACTCTGATTTAATTTTTAAATTTTAAAAGGATGAATTCAAAATTATGCAAACTTGCTGATTAAATATGAATAACTTAAGTGTCAAACTTGAAAAACATAAATTAAAATGTATCAAACAAAAAATACCCAAAAAAAAACATCCAAATCCAAAATAATCTAATTTTTTTTAACTCAAAACAATCTAACCTGAAATATTCCAACCAATTCAATTATCACTTGTAATAGATTTTTACTAACTTAATCTGAAAATATAAAACTAAAAAATATATTATATAGGATAAAGATTTAATATATCTATTTTTACTTTTAGTTTTATTTTTCTTCAAACAAAAATTGAAAAAAAAAAAATAGGAGGCAAAAAAATAAAAAACACCTTACCAAAAATTTAGTTCGTGATATGGCCATAAATGCATTTTCAAATTCCTACCACACGCAATCAAAGACATACAAAGGTCCCACAGACCGGATATGGATCCAATATAGCCGCCGAATGTGTTACCATTTGACAAGTGGCAAACTCTTTATATCCTCCGTCTCTCCTCCTAAATATATCAACTAAAACTTATAGGCTACAGCAAATATAAATTAGTAGACTACTATGATTAGAAAAGCTGTGTAATTATACGAAAACAAGTATGTCAAAATATTTATTTGGGCATTCAAATGCTATGTCATCCATTCCAGAACTACTCCCAAGTTCGATGCAATATTCTCTCTCATCAGAGATGAACACCGACTTGGTGAATCTTGGGTCATCAGATAATCATGGACTCAAGGCGGTCTCCAATTCTATCCTCTTTCATACTAAGCAACCCCAGAATTCAATGAAATTCACAGGTAATCACTTAATTCTGTTCATAGCGTTCGCTATCTAGCCTTCCTGATCAATAGTTTTCTGGTTTTCTTTAGTAGTTTTGCCACTTAATCATTATTGACATCAGTAGGTAATAGTTATATGGTACATGAAAGCAAGAACGAGAATAAGATGCCTACATCTGAGAAACCTGAAAATTTGTCTGCTTCTCCAGGTTCTGTATCCAAGTCGAGAGGAAATAATAAGGTAATTATAAATGGGAGAATTAATGATTTAGCCATTCTGTTTTTCTTTGCTTTTATGTATGATAATCACAATTGATGGGCCTTGTTTTGCTTTGATATTGGAATACGGATACATATGATAGAGCTCTATTGGAAGAAAGAGGAGAAAGGACGAGGAGGACATGCAGAAACGAAAAGAAGTTATTCATGTGAGAGCAAAAAGAGGTCAAGCCACTGATAGTCACAGTTTGGCGGAAAGGGTATTCTGTTTTTCCTTTTCTTTTGAACTGCAGTGCACCTGAATGATAAAAATTCACTTTTTTTTTTTCTGCCAGCAAAAGGAACCAATCTGAAAATCTTCATTAATTTTGTCGAGTATCCTATTGGTTCCAGGTAAGAAGAGAGAAGATTAACGAGAAGCTGAGATGCTTACAGGAGCTTGTTCCAGGATGCTATAAAGTAAGAAAATAGTTTCATTTTCCTTTTCTTTTATTCAGTCATGAAATATGTACAATGAGCGTTACTTTCAATGTCCAGGCAATGGGAATGGCAGTGATGTTGGATGTTATAATCAGCTATGTTCAATCACTTCAGAATCAAATAGAAGTGAGTCTTTACTCATTTTACTGATCATGAAAGCCTTCACCAAGATGCACAAGACTAACATATTAAATTTATATACGATCTTCTAATTTGTTTCGTTTTCCCATATTGTTTCTCCTAGTTTCTCTCCATGAAGCTCTCATCAGCTAGCATGTACTACGACCTCAGATTCTCAGAGATTGAAGCCATGGAAACAATTCAGGTAGCCTCCTTCACCCTTATCTTTGTCGAGATTTGTTTTCTTTATGGGCAATTCGTTGAAAATATAGCATCAAAATGCCCATGAGAATGTGCCCTTACCTTTCCAAAACTGAGAAAACAATGAGGAATGGAGCATTTTTTGCAGGGAATAAAAACAAATGCAAATGAACAGGTACAAGAGATGGAGAGGATGGTGAGGGAAGGGTATGGAGGACCTTCCTACAACGACTCAACATGGCCTCTTTAATTGAAAAAAATCCTATACGCTATGGACAAATTTGCTCCTTTGATGCTTAATTATTATATTTATAAACTGCATATTATAGCAAAAGATAAATACTTGTGGACACTATCCAAGCTCACTACAGTAGCAAAAAGTAAATAGACATTAAAAATGAAAGAAATGAATAGATATTTCCATATGGTTGCACCTGTTTTCTGTTAATAATTACTGTATGATTTGAGGGTTTGCTCGATTAGTCTCTTCACAATCATTGATAGATCACAGGGAATATATTGTGGTTTCATTGAAGGAGAGACACATCGATTGTCCTATATTTGTCACCGAGAACATAGTTGAATGAATGTGATAATTATAAGCATAATTTTAAATCTAAAAAATCATATTTGAATATTAGAATATTCAATTTAATCATATTATATACTTTTTTAGACAATTATAAATGATAAGCAAAAGCAATATCAATTTTTGAAGAGAGTAGATCTTTTTTTTTTTACTAGCAACTCTTAATAAATAGACACCGTTAGTTAGAAGCGAATGGATGACCTTAGCTAATTTTTAGTAAAACCCTAAAAACCTCTCCATCAAAGGTTTACCTAGTCAAAAACCTACATAATGGTCACACTATACTAACCTTGTAAGATGTGCAAAGCCCATACATAAGAATTCACAATTAATTATTTGGACTCTCATACTTATCTCGTATTAAAATTATATTTATCAGCATGTTTTTTTAAACTATAAAATTACCAATTAATAACAATCCACTTATTGAAAAATTCTAACATTCTCTCACTTGGACAATATCTTTAAGTTGTTTGATTTTAAGAAAACATAATTTAAAAATCAAGACTCCAAGCTAGTTAATTTTACTTTGATGTGACCACAATTTTAAAAACAATTTAGCTCTAGAGATAGCATCTTAATCATCTTGTCAAATAAAATCAACTAATATTGAATCATGGCAGCCATTATATTCCTTATTGACATAAAACCAATCCATAGTTACAAGTACTAGAGGCTCTATCAACAATGGATCTTAATGTGGCTATATAGCAAAAAAATAACACCTAAATATGATCTCAATGTGTTATTTTCATTATCGATTACTTACTAATTTCTCTAAACTTATTAAAAAATCTCAATGACATCCAAATGTGCCTGTATGTCATTTCTTTATTCTCAAGGTTACTTGTTAGTATCATTTATGAGACATACTCAAATGATATTAAAGTCGTATTTAAGACAAACACTAAATCTTAAGATCTTAAAATATGATGTCAATATGAGATGTGCATATGCAACAATAAACTTATATACAAATAACGACTATGATATACATATAAAACAATTCTGTCCACTTAACTTAATAGTATCTCATAGACTTATTCATCTCAAACTATATCTTATAGGTAGTTTAGCAATCACATGTTATGCATTTAACAAAGTAAAGAACCAAAACAATAATGGTTTCAAAAGCAAATTTACAATGCATCATTACTATAATCAACCCAATACCTTAATGGGTTCTATTTTCTGTACTTGTAGATATTCATATTATGGATTTGGTAATACCATAATCCTCAATAGAGAAAATATTTCATCATGTAATCAAATCACAATAACACCCATTGATCTAGTTAATCATAGAATTGCGACAATTAAATTTTGAATAATAAATAAAAAGCATTTTAATAAATGGAGTCATAACAAAATTATCTATTGTCTGCTCTCATGCCTAATGTGATAACCATTATTGTTCTTGGACTTACATTACATCACTTTAATAAACCACTTACAAATTATTAACATATTACAAACAAATTTTCATATTCATATGTTCATATAACATAAAATTTTCAATGTTTTAACATGAAATCATTTTCAATAAATTTGGAATTCATTTAATTATCAATTTTTTTTTATCTAAAATATGCTTAAACTATAGCCTATTAACTCCCACTAACCTTAACATAAATAATATCTCTAAAACAATAAATTTAGTGCATTTATGAGTCCTTACTACTTTAAAAAATAGTTTTGGCATTAATAAAATAATAATTATAAAAATTGTCAAAACTTTATATTATCATTCTTTAAAATAACTCTCAAAATTAATTCATATATAGTTCAAAACAAGGGAAGTGAAATGAGAGAAAATTATAAAATTCTTATTCTCTCTCAAAATTAAACCAACAAAATTTGGGAAAGATTCTCAAGAAAGGAATTGAACTAATAAAAAAAAAATTATTTATTTATTTGCACAAAATTTCATTCTTCAAAACTCTCACACGTGTGATAAGTGTAAAACAATATTCTCCCTCACACATGTGAGTTCTTTAAAAGAAAATATTAAATTTTTTTAAAAATAATTTGTCAACAAATGACAGCAATATGCTCTTTAAAATTGATAACTGCTAGGTTAATAATGTTAACTAAGATAATCAAACCAATATCTTAATTGTAAGTTAAACAACCAAAATAAATAGTTATTAAATAAAATTATATTTCAACAACTCTCAATTTTACTTAAGACATTGTAAGATATCATAATAGGTCTAAAACTTTCTTGTGTGGAAGCTAACCTTCTTGGCCATCATAAGACACTATACAACAAAAATATATCTTCAAATGTGAAAATTAAAGTGACTAAAATTTATACATTTACTATGTTGTCTAATACATCCAAAAACTTATCATTTATGGCAAACATTAATCTATGATAAGAAGTATTAAAACATACTAATTGAGTATAAAAGCCAATCAAATAAGACTTTAATCAATTTGATATCCTTACTAATGTTATCAAAATAATCAAAGTGTTATATCATAAATTTAATCTTGGACATTCTTTTAAAGAAAACATTATACCTTTGTGTGACTCGACTTCAATGAAATAAAACAAATACTTTTGAAAATATATTCCCTAGATCTATATATCTTTTCACTTCAAAAAATTGGTTGACAATTATCTCTAAATTAAAACCATATAATCGCCCTTTTGAGCAATAGTCACATTGAGTAACTTAGAGATAATCCATAGCAACATAAAAAATTTTATAATCATTATATTTTTGTTGATTTTCTTATATTTATTTATACATATGATCACTTTAAGAGAGATACTTATCTAAATGTATCTTTATGAATCACTAAAAGTTAAAACTTAGAATGCCCGTTGCATATTATATACCTTAAAAAATTTGAAGTCATGTTCTATAATCATGTTGTCAATCAATATACGCACTTAACATGCTATACTACCAAGTAAATTGTCTAAACAATAATAATATTTTGTTATGACATTTCAATCTTTCAAGCATGACTACAAAAAATTTTAAAATTAAAAATTGGCTGGCCACCAATGTAGATATTTTATATATGAGATTCAAAAAAAGTTCACAATCTTCATACCATAAATCTCAATATAATAGTATATAATGAATGTCAATAATTCATATTTTTCTATACAATCATATACAAACAATAATTATGGTATAAGCTAATCTCATGTTCATGAAAGGAATATAATATTTTCAATATTACCAAACACGATCTGTGAGAAAAAGCATTAAGCCTAATTAACCTAGCAAACCTTAAAAATATTATATTTCAGTCAAAAACTTTAATACTTTGAAATTTGCAAACTAAAATTTGTTTACCCTTATCGACTAAAATTTTTACTTATATCCATTTTATTTTTCACAACTCATCATTATTTATTACTTAGGATCTTGATGGTAATATTTATTGCGTTTTACAATACCAAAGACATACTCCAATTACTTACTAACAAATAAAATTTTACTTGTTGCTCTTTCAAAATATTATAATGCTATAATTACAAAATAATTAATATATTATAAGAGCAAACTTGATTTAGTAAGTATTTTGTAAAAATAAAAGATCTTAAAAGCAAGTTTAACAATTTATGTGAAACAAATTTACTATGCAATTATTTAACACATATTATTTCTCCTAACATAATTATACAATTTTAACAACAATACTTTTTCACTCTTTCAACAAACTAGCATAAAATTAAATGTCTTTCATAAATTATTACAGCCAATAATATTGTTTTATATGTCCATAAGAATAAGAGTTTCTAGAATATATATCACATTATACACAGTTTTAGGTTTTAAATTTAATGTCTAAAATTTCAAATCACAATTATGTGATTTATAAAATTAAAACATTGTAAGCATGTTAAGCATATTTATCACACATAATACATGTGCTAAAATAATAAAACTTAATTACACATGTTACATTTTACATAAATATGATCATTTATAAAGTCAAATTTTCAAACAATAATATATTGGAACAAAGTAATATAACAAACTTACTAATCATGCATGTGACAATTATTTTCATGGACTTATATTACTAGACAATATTTTATAATTACAAAATGTAACATTTTAACAATAAGACAACAATCAATAAGAATGTTCAAAACTTAATGATTGTGTCTAAGAAAACACATATGACTTGGTTAAGCTCTAAATCACCTTTTATCATTTTTAATTAGAGTTGTTTAATCTTCATCATATAAATCAATTGTAATATTCAAGACAAAAGAATGTAACTTTTCACATATGAAAAACAATCTATACAAATAACATTAGCTCATGATATGTTATATGTAATTAAACTAAAAAGTCCAAGTGCATCATCATAAACTTCTCTTTGAGCAAAGAATGTGCTATGATATTAAGCACTTTTCACATGAAGTCAATATGAAAATATTATAGTTTTCTAAAAGCCTAACCCCTTTAGGTAGATAGACCTTTTAAATCACTACACCTTTTAATCATGATGCTTCAAGTCCACTCCAAATTATCAAATACAATCACCCCATTTAGGTAGCCGATTGTATAAGGTAATTTAAAAATACTCATATTCCTACACATGAGAAAATCTTGCAAGTTTCAATGAATACGTTTTTTGGTAGCCAAACGCTCAAATTAACCAATTTATATTCTCACACCAAAAAATTTAGATTGCCCGTAATTTTGGTTTGCATACTTAATTCAATGTATATATTTTGACCACTCATCGTGAGATAGTTGACTATGTCGTATCTCTTTAGGTCATTAAAAATTGATTGCTCTTCTATGAGATAGTAATAATTTATGTGTATCTCAATGTATCATTATAAATATGATATTT